AAGGCGAGGGAGGAGTGGGTGGTTTGCAGAGCATCACTGTGGAGATAGATGTCTTCTTTATGTGCACCAGCATGTACAGTGAGTCCTGTTTTCTCACAAGCTGATCCAGTTTTCATTCCTGGAACTTTTTATGCTGATGTTTCTGGGTATTTCAGGATAGTGTGGGTAAAAGAATCGAAAAGTGTTAAATCTTGTATCACAATCAAAGACCACATTTATTGAAATGACGTGTGTTATTCCTGTAGCATTACTGGGATCTTCATCCAGACTTATCTAAAATCTAAAATCATCTATGAATTCAAATGTGGGTAATGTAAACAGGTTTCAATTATAACTATAATTTTGTGTTACAGTTTGAAATTGCATCCAGAAAAAAATGTATCTCCCATAGAAAAACAGACTCGATAACGGTGTCCCTGAGCCAAGTGCTCCACCACTACTCCCTTTAGGTATCAATTACCAGTATACAGTATTTCCCCAGTGACTGCATTCCACTATCAAGGGAATCCCTGCTTCAATTTCATTGAGTAAGAATATCCTTTCATGCACTAAATGCTCCTATCTAGGTTAAGTGCCGCATGATGCTTCAGTAGAAGGCAGCATGCCTGCCAGTGACTGCTTCTCTTGTTTAACTAGTCACTCCACATTATCTGATTGGCTGACTTTAGATTAATCATTCATTACTAGTGTGTCAGTGTTTGGTGTAGCGTACTTGCAAACTAGGTCATTTGGCACGAATGAATGTGCTCTCAGGCTTCACAGGGATGGACATCTTGCATAAGTCTGTGAACATACCAACACACTGTTACAAAAAACTCCATTATTCAGCCATACATTTATTTGTCACGCAGTTGTGTTCGACGTGTTACTTTGCAGCACTTACAAGTAGCAGGTGCTGTGATTCTCACTTGTTTTTATTTGCAACTAAAAACATTTTGTTGTGTAACGGCATCACTCATACAAAACCAATGACTGAACAGAACTGGATGCAGTTATGTTTTACTTCATACAGTGTGTATTTGTATTTGTTTGTATTTCAGTGTATATGTATATTTATATACTGAGTATACTTCAGGTAAAGTCTGTCTTTAAAACCTGCAATAACTGCTTATTTTGGCTGTGTGGGAACAAGTAAACAACACATACTGTGTTAGCATCAGCAGATATAGAATAACATTAACATTCATTTGAAGTCATATTCCTGGTCAACTGGTGAATGTAATTTTCACTCTCTTTTCAGTTTTATTTTTGCTCTCCACCAACTTCAGAGGAAAATATTCGGCTGTTTAGCTGCTAAATGTTCCACTAAGTTGGTTTGTTAAGTTTGTTGCTGAGCAAGTAGCATACAGTAGGTTTTTCACTGGAAACAGCTGCCTGCTGCAGCACAACCTGATGACTAGACAATAAGCTGAAAGATGCTAAAACAAGCAGTCATGTGATCCACTGTTTATATAAAATATTGATTATAGCCACTTTAAGAAATAGTTTTTTGGGAGGTTGAAATGTCCCATTAAGTCCTACCTTACCAGTAAAGCCTTCACCAACCAGTATTCTTGATATTAACATTGAATCACATGTTGCAACACAAGTGCCATCTAAAAGAGTTCACTCAGTGCTGAAATCACATCATCAATGATCTATTCAAAGATCAGTAGAGCTGCCAGCTCTACTGATTTTTGAATAGATAATTCTCTGTGTCTTATACGAAATGTATAAGAGGCAAATTGTTGGGAGGTGGCTTATTTTGATGTTTTTCTGCCCTCTATAGATCAAAAATTAAGCTATTCAGCTTTAAATGATGATCTTTTAGAGGGGGCGCCACAGACTTTGCAGATCAAAGTGATACATCTGTGATGGGAGTACTATTCAGCCAGTTGTATAGTGTCTTCTGTTGTCTCTGGAGGGAGCTCTCTAAAATCTGTTTTATTGTTAAGCAGTGGTGTGAGATAGAATTAGTCTTCACAGCAAATGCCTTGTTTACATTCAAACGACCATGAACACATGTTTATTATTGTAACCATAACAACAAACATCCTCTAACCCAGGGGTTCCCAACCGTTTCCACCATGGCCCACTTAAAAATTTCAAAAATGTTGACGGCCCAAATCCAAACCCATAACAATACGGAGGCCAAATAATGTGTTCCTAGAGCAATTCTTAATGATAACGATGGAACATTCAGGACTGAAGTGAAAGCAGGGGAAACATGTAGGAAGCTCCACAGTCTCCACACTGTCCTCACAGTGACAGGCCTTAATACAAGAAGAAAGTAAATGATAGGAGTTTTTGAACATTTTTAATGTTTTTAGAGATCAATTCATTTAGAATATTATAGTCTTTGTCACATTATGAAAGGGTTAGTTTTTTAACAGTTTATTTGTGACATATCTCTTGTTGTCTTGGTTGTATCAGAGAGTAGGGACAAACAACCTATATGGATGTTTAGGTTGGAGGACTCGTGTTTTTGTAGCTTGACCTAGATTGAGTACTACAAGTCAGGATATCTTCTCCTCTGCTGCACCAAGTGTAACCATTCTTCTTTAAATTTGACTTTTCTTTAAATAAGCTCCCCAACTTTATGGAAGTGCAATGCTGTAGTTCCCCTTGTCTTTCGAACAGTGGCTGTATTTATAAGTAAACTCTTACCATTTAATTTGTTTTCCTTCTACACTATGCTACAGATATTACAGCAGGTAATCTACATTTAAAGAAGCCTCTCAAAACATAAAACTGGATCAAGTGTAGCAGCAATTATTACAGTTATCTGTGTATTATAAATTCCCATGAAGTCTCCATTTGAAAAGCTTGTTGTCTGTGCCCTCTGTCGGACAGTTGACACCACACGTGTCCTGAACGAGTGAGGTATTCCTGTGGTGTTAGCAGGGAACCTTGTTTCCTACATCTGTAGGATACATGATGCGATTACCATCTTCATGTTATAATTACTGTCTTCCCTCTCTGTGAAGCGATCACAGGCTTCTCTAGAGAAAATGCAGCCACATCCAGTGGATTCCTTGCTTGTACATCCTCCTCCCCCATCCACAACACAGGCAACGGGGCTGGCATGCAAATTAAATTACAGAAGATATAGAGCTCCAAAGGGTGCTGAGAGTGCACTCAATTCCTCTAAATTCCAGTGCCTGAGTTAGTGCATATGTGTGTTTGTGTGTATGGTGACAGAGAGAGAATTAGTCCTCACATAAATGCTAGAAACGCAGGCAATACAACTACGCTGCTATAAAAAAAAAAAGAGGGAATAAAAAATCTTTTGGGATTAGTCCTTGGAATTGACACCCCCTCCCCCCCTTCCCACTGCTGAAAAGGACTTTCCTCTTGCCAAGTGGCAGTGTGTATCAAGGCCTTCATTTCAGAATCGCAGGAAATGAGCTATGTTTCTCTGTTCTGTTGCCATGGGTAACACATCTTTTTCTTCTCATGTCTAATCTTGGCTTCTCTTTGAGATATCTTCCATTTGGCCTGCCTGCTACTGCAGCATTGGCACTGTTTCACGGCCTTGTCAGCTATTAGGCTTTGGTCGATGGCTAGGAAATCATACTGCCTACTATTCCATGTACAGATGGATTATTATGACAAATATGTACTGTTAACAGCTGAGGTACGCCGTCTAATCTATGTCTAAGAATGATATGTTTTATTAAAGCTGCATTCTTGAAGCTTTTCATATAAAATATATATTACTACTGATGTAAATATGGGCACAAAGGGAGTTGGGGGTTGCACTTGCATATTTATTTAGCTATTATAGAGCAATCTTCTCTGGTCACTTCTTCCTGTGAAGCAGCTATCATAGACTTCACTTTACTTTCACCTATTTATTTCTGTTTTGTCATCAATATTTTGTAAATTATTTGAATCATGAATAACGTGTACATGACAAAACAAGCAATCCAGAGGAAAGCTACTTTTAGTATTTAGCCATTACATTGCCATATTTTAGTATGACAAAGTTTGAGGGGAGGGGAGTGTCTTTTACTGTGATAATGAAAATTTAGCTATAAATTCTAACAAATCGGTATAGTGCAGGCTAATTTCATAACAAGGTGTTAAATAAATTGCCAAAATTACATTGATTCTATGAAAACTACACCAAGGATACTACGCTTACTGCTCTTGTAGCAAAACACTATTCATGGAGCAGTGGAGCAGTAAATATGTGTATCTGTAGTAGCGCTGGGAAAGAAACAGGGGTAACATATTGACGTACTTGTAATTTACTGAAGTATCTTCATATCATGATACTTTATACTTCTACTTCATTACAATTCAGAGGAAATGTTGCATTATTTACTCTACTACCATTTAATTTACAGCTATAATTACTAGTTACTTATCAATATTTCAAGTATAAAACATGATTATCTTATAAAATTTGATACATTGTTATAGATTAAACTTCCCATTAAAAATATCTCCAATTCAACCAGCTACATCATTAAAATGGTGCTTACACATGCCTCAGTATTAATAAATTATATATACAATATATAGCAGTCAAGTTGACTTGACTTTTACTTTTGATACTTTTTGAAAAAAGTTTTATAAAGTCTTTTGTGCCCCCATATAAATCTGATAAATTGCCTCAAGTGACATCACCTGAGTCAGGAGACAGTCAGTTTGGACTACGAGTTTGAAAATGAAAAAAAATCTGAAAGGAGTGGTCTTACCAGACGTGTGTAGCCCGCTTGTCATATCTGCTTGAGGCTGGAGGTTACATTTGCCATTACTAGGATAATACACCAGAATCTCTGACCCAGCTGTGGGCAGTCGAGTTGCATTGTGGGTAATTAAAGCTCCAGGTTTTGACAAGGAATAAAAAAGATACCTCTGGTTCTGCTGCGTCAATTTTGATATAATGTTATACAGTTGGAGATAACTGTATATATATGTACATTCATAAAAAGCAATACCAAATTATAATTGGTAGTAAAGGCAGCTGTGGTGATGCTGCTTTAAAGTGACCCTGATTCTTGTGTCCACAGGTGAATACACAGTGATGACGGCTCATTTCCACCTGAAGAGAAAGATTGGCTACTTTGTCATCCAGACGTACCTCCCGTGCATCATGACTGTCATTCTTTCCCAAGTGTCTTTCTGGCTGAATAGGGAATCGGTGCCAGCTAGGACTGTGTTTGGTAAGTATGACTTTTATCATCAATGACCACATTCTTCCTCTCTTTTATTTGTTTGCTTATTTATTTATTTTTAGGCAAGAAACCTGTCTCTTATTGAAATGCCCAAATTCCCAATGGCACTAATGTAATTTAAGCCCGGTGTTATAAATGTGTGATCTGAACACACATGATGGGACATGGAATTCATCCCAGCCTCTGTCAGCATGGGGGATGAGAACAGCTAATAGTTGAAATTTGATGACAAATGTTGGGTGCAGGAGAAAACAGGATAAAGAAAAAAGAGCAGACATTTCTAGAGGCTTCAATGCTTTTTCAATCCAGTTGGACAAGCTACTGTTGGACTTGTTTGTAAGCCAAGTGGAACTAATAACAATGACCTAAGAATGGTCAGCTCAAAGAAAAAAAAAAAAACAGCTACAGAAGTCAAGAATAAACTGGGCTAACAAACTCAAACCTACCAACCAGCTATAGCATTACTGAAGGTCAGTGGTTATTAGGGTAGAATAGGCTGATAGTAACCTTACACTGTAAAGACACAAAGGATACGAATGACTCACACACTAAAATCAGTAAAGGTGATTCATTGTTTTCATTTCATTTGTTACGTATATAATGTATCTGTATTACATAAAATAACCCTTTCTGTACGAACCTCATGATGACTATCAGATGAAATGCTGCTTTCTTTTTGCATCTCCAGGTGTAACCACCGTTCTCACGATGACAACACTGAGTATAAGTGCAAGGAACTCCCTTCCCAAGGTTGCTTATGCCACTGCCATGGACTGGTTCATCGCTGTCTGTTACGCCTTTGTCTTCTCCGCTTTGATTGAGTTTGCCACTGTCAATTACTTCACAAAGCGCGGCTGGGCTTGGGATGGAAAGAGTGTCGTGAATGACAAGGTAATGAGGAGAAAAACATGTCTTTTTGATAGGCTCCATTTTCAAAGAGAATTCATTAGCATTGTACTGAAGAAGGCAATACTTGCACATTGTAGTTGGGAGGTTTAAAATCATTTGTTGGATGCTGAGGGAAGTAGTGATAATGGCTGCTTTAACCCTGCACAAGCCAAACTCAAATTTGTCCAACACTGCTTCTATAGTCTGCAACATGAGAACATGGGTTCATGTTTAAGATGTAATCCTGACACAGAAGAGCTTAAGTTTAAAAAAACAGGACCATTAATGAATTCTCCAGTATTAGCATTCCAGAGGAAAATTGTTTTAAACCTTTAAATGCCATCAATGCACTCTTCTCATTTAACTATGATCTGCCCCACGGCAAAGCACTTTACGCTCAAACTGCTGCAGGGGAGTGACTCAGTGTGTAACTGTGTACAACTGTGTTAATGTAGCTGTCAGACAAAACTTTATATAGACAGGAGACATAGATTCAGAATATTGACATAGTGTACCACCAACCTTAGTTAGTGGATGACCTGCTCTACATCCTGAGCCACAGACGCCCCCTAATGTAGTATTATGTTTATCAGGGGCAAGCAGGACAATTTACCATACCAAAATGATTTTACATTTTCAATTGGATTAAACCCTGTCATGACAAAAAAAAACAAAAAACAAGTTTTACACACAGTTTTAAAAAATTCTTCTTCAGGTGTTTTGAATGTGTTACTAACTAGATTTCATGTAAGAGGTTCACAAACATTTGTAATATATAATGCAGACTAATAGCAGGACATACAGAAGATGTTAATGAATGTCAATAATGTTCTTGCACAGGTGAAGATAGTAAGAATATAAAATACATTCATGTCATCTTAAGGTTTCCCAGTAAGCTAACTGGAAAAAGTGATTATAAAAATGATGATGCACTGACTTTATTTTTCATCCTGTTGTTCATGGTGTTGCTCAGTCAGCAGACATGGCATCTAGACAGACTTCTATTATAGAGCAAAGAAAAAACTAAGGTAAAAAAAATCAATTCAACCCTTTGTTAAAGAGATCATTCAACAACTCTTTAGGGAAATTTTCACTATTTTTACTATGAGGCTGGATATAATCCGCTGTACCTGACTGAACTCTGCAGTAAATCTGAGGGTGCTTGTCTAATCTTATAGAGTGTCTCCATTTCAAGAATAGTTTTACATTTAACCTGAACACACCAGTATGGTGTATAATGAAATGCTCTTACGAATACAACATCCTGTGACCAACTATATTTCCACCTCCTTCTTACTATATGTGTATGAGTATCAGTCTATCTATTTTATGCTGTAACCTTGTGAGATCCTTGAAACTGCTGGAAAGCTGAAAAAGTGTGGAAAGTTACAGAGCGACCTTAACAAGCTGTTGAAATATTTGGCCTTTACTGTTCTTCATTCTGACACTGCAAAATGTGCACATCCATTTCCAGGACCTGCCCATTGCCACAGCAGCCCTTCATTTACATGTACTTTAAATTCATTGATAGATGGTGACAGGTGAGGTTGATTTTACGGTACACTTAATCCTTGTTGTCTTTCAACAGAAAAAAGAGAGGGCATCCGTCGTCAAGAAGAATAATGCCTACGCTGTAGCAGTGGCCAACTACGCGCCTAACATCACCAAGGACTCCAGCACACTTCCAACCATCGCCAAAGGTGGAGCTCCGGAGCCCAACAAGGCCAAAGCAGATGGCAAAGCCCAAGAAAGCAAGAAGACATTCAACAGTGTTAGCAAAATTGACAGGATGTCAAGGATTTTGTTTCCGGTTCTCTTTGGCACCTTCAATCTCGTCTACTGGGCCACCTACTTAAACAGAGAACCCGTTATAAAGGATATGGTCCCCTCTACTTAGAGACCACTTTTAATGGGTTCTGATCTGGGGACTAAGAGATGAACCAAATACCTCCAGCAACTGTGTACACATACCTTTGCAGAGTCAAGTCCTGGATTGCAGTGTGATCCTCTATCTCCGCCTGTTTTCTACACCGTCTGCAGCACTTTTGAGGAGCCTGGCTTTTGTAAATGTGTATGTATATTTATATTCATGGTTTTATGGTGACATATTGTGTGATTACTTCGATTAGAGTGCATATTTCCTTGAAAGTATGTTTCCAGTTACAGTATGTGGCCACTGTACATACAAATCAAATGAGGAGTAAACATTAACACATACATTTTATTTAAGATTACTTCTAAACGTGTTGTTTTGCTGGTAATGCCCACTCTCTTGATATTACAGTATATATATATTTTTCTTTTGAGTGAAAGTGACTGCTTATATCATATTTCTTTCTGTCTCTGCCATCTAAGAGTGGCTTTTTTCTGTCCAAGCCAATGCAAAAACACACTTGTATAATACTGTTACAGTGTAAAAGTTGTTTTATTATCTGTGACTGCAGGTATGGGGCTGTAATCATACACTGACCTCCAGAATCAATGAAACACTCCAAGCCAAAGAGCTCTAAAAATATATAAATAAATAAATAAATAAATAAAATTAGTGTGCTTGTGATACAGCTAGTGCTGCCAGAGTCACTTTGCAGTGATATCATTTTGGATTACAGGAAAATATATATTTGAAAAGAGATTAAAAAAGATCATTTAATACTATCAGAGATATCTGACTTAACAACAGAATGGAAGTGTATGTAATAGTGTGCTGTGATACTCAATAGAAACATCATTAACTGAAATACCAACAATTTCACGTTTGAAAATGCAGATCAATTTTTGGCCACTAGGAGGCAGAAGAACACCACACAACCCTGACAGTACTGCCTTACTACATTTTTTGCATTAGTAAACATTTATATTATTTATCCATTATATATATATATATACATCCAATAGACACATGCTGTGTCTCGAACCGGATACTTCGGTCAGTACACTAACATGAAGTACAGTGTGTACAAAAGATACTCACTGGCGCAGTGCACGAACTTGGACAGTGTAGTGTCCTAAAACCAACACTGCTGTTCTGCGGTCACCGGAAATGACGATGTAAACATGTGGCCGCGATTGTCGCGTGCCTGCCAACTTCTTTGCTCACTTGACTCAAATTGAACGTTTAACTGTCTTGTGTGTGGCTTTGTGTCATGCCACATGAAAAGTAAGCCGCAATCGGCGCCAACGACGTATCCTCCCTCCTCAATGGTCGCCATTTCCACAAATTTGCGGTCCCTCCCCTTCCGCTATGTCGCCAAGATGGCGACTGTTGCGGGTGAGAAGGGTTTATGTTTTTACATTGTTTGCCTGTGTGAGTGCACCATCCGAGTATTTAGTGCACTGCCTGTTGACATTCTTGTCAATGTGAACGCACTTATGCACTCAAAATAACAAGTGTGAGTATGGAAGTATGGAAATTGAGACACCCAACAGAGTAACATTATCGCCCCTCTGAAGTTTTGCTGTTGTCACATCTCATGTAAGTCCAGTATTCACTCTCCTTTTAGCTCTGTGTCAGAGTCCAACATCGCTGATCAACTGATATTTGACTTTCTTCACCACCTACTTTATACTCTAATCTGTCTGCCATTTGTTTTCCAGTTTGTCAGAGCTAATTCATTCATTCAATTCCTGCTTCAATTTGAGATTAGGTTGATGAGAGTGATGAACCATACAAACAGTAAATATGCCATTTAAAAACCAAAACAATGAGCTACAAGGGTCTAAAAAGCAACAGTTGCAGAGTTGGGGGATAATTTTCTGTAGATATGTCGTTTTGGTTGACCCCTTTTACCTTAGCATATGTTTTAATAGGTGATAAAAGTGATCAGCAGTATTAGCAGTGAAAGGAACCTATTGCTAATGGTGCAAAGAATTTATGAGATGAAGAATGATATGAGAAGAAGAAATACATGTTGCTTCACAAGCACACTGACAGGCATTATCATACAATTTATTTTTCAAATTATTTTTTATGTTTATATTTTATTTATTTATTTTATCAAGGTTCAAGTCCCAATAATATCATATAGTACACTTTAAATGTACACAAACTCGGTATCATTAACATCTTGTGAAAACTTGTCTAAACTCATTTAAAATATGTATATCACAGCTTTTTATTGGCTTACAAACAGTGTCAATAACTCTGGAGGACAGTGTGGATTTGTTGATGTTTAGTTGTGTGCTGTGGCAGTCTTAATCAGCATGTACACCATTACAATTTTTATTCATTATCCATAGTCAGTGTCCTGCTATTTCCAACACATTTTATGCTCCCACCAGCTATTTTGAAGTAATTACAGATATGAAGGGGGTAGGATTGTAAACACAAACCTGTTTTGTGCCAGTGTGAACTTCAGTAAATAATTTCACACTTCTCTTCCAGAAAAATCTTTTGTGTAACAGGCCTAAAGTGAAATGATACAGTCAGGATTTTGGAGCAAATTAATATTTTCTATCGTGAAATGATCATAGATTTGTAGTTTCATCTCATATTCATATGCAGACTGATTGCTGCTAAAACTTTGGACTAACTCAAAAGCCATATACAGTCCTCATAAATAACAAAATGACAGGGACAACTGATGATTGTACTTTCTGAGCATGAGGTACATTGGTAACAAAAATCATCAAAGCACTCAGTTGATCTTAGGGGAGATTGTGTAGTTGGTTAAATACCCCTCAAACATAAGAGGCAAAGCAAAAAAGTATTGTATGAACCTATTTTGTAGAAGACGGGGTTGCTCTTTCACAATCTCTGCCATGTTCACTGTATATTGACAAGACAAATCATGATCAGCCCCATATCAGTAGCCATATAGAGGACTCTACTGTGTGACCTTTTTTTCATGAAGTGATATGATTTTGCTTCACATGAGTATTTCAACTTAATTTTAACTTAATTTGATTGGTGAATCAAACTTTGCATGATGTTGAAATCTAGGATTTTCATTTATTTTTTACAAATTATGTTGTTGGATTTACTTATTTTAAATTCAATTTTTTTCTCCAACATCCTGATAAACTCTTAAACATTCCAGATAAAATGATTGTTCACGAGGTGGATGCTTGATTCAGTGCACAGTTTCTAATAAAACACATATCGTTTCAATTCTTTATATCTAGTTTTTATGATGTCTTTGGATGTATAACACAAATATGGTTCCCTTAAATTATTTTTAAGGAGTGGGACATTTTACAACTGAAATCTAAATTAAGCTTTTTGAAAGATAAAAAAGCACTGGCAGACGATTTGGTGTTTCTGTACCATATTTCTTGTGTATTGGTCAGGCTCTGTTGTGAGTTATCACTTTAAAGAAAATACCCAGGGAAGCTATTGAAAACATGACTGTATTTGAGCCTACAGTGTTGGGGAATGATTTGAAATTAAGTTTCTTTTTCTTTTACTTTCTTTTACTGTATCTTTTTTTTTATTTTTTTTTATTCTGTCCATGACATTTGTTTGAGTTTAATTGGTATCTGCCACTTTTTGACAGTAATATATGAGCACATTTTAAATATAATGAAGACAAAATGCCAGACAAAAAACATGGGAGCTGGCTTTACACTGAGAAGGATTTTGTCCCCTTAATAAACTTACTGTTATGAGACCATAGCACCAGATAACCATTCAAGGTCATGAATTCAAGGGTCAAGAAGAAATGGCCAAAAAATACATAAATAAATACATGAATAAACAGCATTTTTTAAAATATTTTTAGGCTTTTTTCAGACTTTCTTTACATATAGGTCTGATAGAAGGCAACTGAAGGCATGATATTATATCTTCAAGAACAGCTTTGGCTCCAAGACCTGGATGTTTCAAGATATATAACTCACAATTTACAACAGCCCAGTCAGATCGTGAGACCATGAGTGAAGCAGGAGAGGATGCTCTCAACCAGTGCTCCTATGATGCCAGAGACTATCATTACAAGTGTGTTGGTAAAACCCACAGAAAAGCCCCGTGGCACTGAGCTGTAATGCAAAGCTCGCTGAAGTCTCATTTTCCAGCCTGATCTTTCCACCACTCAAGCTCTGCACAGACCCCAGTGTGAGGTCTCCTTTTCTCTGAGCGCTATCTCCTCAGTGCACAGCTGACCCTGCTCAGTGTACTGCTGCATGGATAGTTGAATGCCCAGGGAGGTCGACGAGGGTCGTTCTCTCAAGTCTACATAGCTAATGACATGTCAAAATACGTTATGACACACATTTTGACGCCATAGCAGGAAAAGCACAAGTTTAACGAGGGCGGCATTCCAGTTGGCCGACTGAGTCTGTTAATGAAACACAGTCCTTAACAATGTTATTAGTTACACTTGTGTTTTTCCTGTTATGCAAAGTAAAAATTTTGTGATAGAGATTACCAGGGAAGAGTGAAACTGTCCTCCCAAAAATAAAAACATACAACACAACGACCCAGACTCAATGGATAGGTCAAAAAACATAGGACTTCAGCACAGGAGGGTGCTGTTTGTTTCTAGTTTCCCAGTGAATGTTGTTTCTTTTAACTACAATCGTTGTATATCCTTAACCACATCTTTACTATTGTAACCATGACGATAAAGGTCCTCTAACCTTAACAAAGTACCGCAAACAATTATCTTTTCCTAAACTTCAGTCACATCATCAACAGTTTATCTGTAGCATTTCTTCTGCCACCATAGATAGATAGATAGATAGATAGACAGACAGACAGGAAGACAGACAGACAGATAGATAGATAGATAGATAGATAGATAGATAGATAGATAGATAGATAGATAGATAGATACTTTATTTATCCCCTGGGGGCTCTAACTCAGGAAATGCTCCAATGGGACGTATCAGAGGGTAGAGACAAATGTCCTACATTTTATGGATGTTTAGGTTGGAAGACTTCATGGGAAGAGCAGTAATCTATGTTTGGAGATTTCTGTGACAGAACAATTCACAACTGTTCAGAACTGAGTGTCTTAAGTACAGAGACACCAGTGACACGGTGAACCATTTTTTAATGACAAAAGGCAAGAACTTTTTTAGTTATTGATTTTACTGTAGCTTTAAAAAGTTCAAACGTAACTCTTGGTGTAACCGGTTAGTGTCGTGTGCATTGTGTTTTGATGAAGAGACCAAGAGCAGGATATCATTGGAGGGGATTTATTCTCCATTTATTCTCTGACAAAAAAGGTAAATAGCAAAATCCTCTAGTTAATTGTGATCATGTAACGTAGCCCCTATACAAATTAAATTACTGTATACAATAAGTTTAAGCTATCAATTAAACTCTTGAATGTGATTTAACAGAAACATGACTAAAACATTTCTCTGATCATGATGTCGCTTACCTCTCCCATGAAGTACAACAGCAAAAGAGAGGAAGTAAAGGGGGAAACGCCCTTCATAGCGGAGACCCCACGGAAGTGAACATAGGGACACAGAAATGAGTCTCAAACGTTTC